ATCTAAATTAACAAATACATTCATAAACATATTGACATTAGATTTATTTAAAAATATATACAAATTTTTGATACTCTTTTGCTGATCATTTTTCCATTTTAAATAAATTTCTATGAAGATTTCTAAATAAGATCATCATCTTCTATATTCTATGTCTCTTCAGGATGTGGGCAATCATAGATCTCCACAACTTCCTATAATTTATAGCTCTTAACAATGTTTCTCTTTTTACTATCCTTTCCTATTCCTCCTCTGCCATCAATTTACCCAAGCTTATTAGGTAGCTTACTCTATATATATAGCAAGTAAGTTAAAGAGTTATATACATATTCTACAGATCAAAAGTTTGATGCCACACCTGGTAATTATTTAAATAGGCCTGAAAAGTAGTTGTTTTGTACTTGAAATGATAGAAAATTATTATAAATGTTTAAAAAAATGTTGGACATAAGTTTTTTATTAGAAATTTTATTATGACAAAAAAAAGCATTTTATGATTAAATTTTGCTTTCATCAAAATTTCCTTGATTACTGCAGCACAAATTTTTGGCATTTGTTGCAAAAGTTCCATTCTTTTTTCATTGACTCTAGGAGGTCTTTTTCATTTTTTGGATTGAAAAGTTTCACTCTTCTGTCAAGTTCATTGCATGCTAATTCTGGGGGTAGCTTCAAACTTTTGAACTGTAGTGTATATCCTAATGTAGATGCATATATACAAATGTACATCAGTTTGAGAACAGTCTATATGTTTTATATCCTTATGAGTCAATGAATCCATTGAGAATTCAAATCCTGTTCAGACACATATCTTGCTGCTTAACCATCAAAATTGATAAGAATCAATTTCTTTTGTTTATTTATCCATAAAAAAGACTCAAGTTGGATAATGGCATCACATTCTCTGATTTATTAGAATTGATCAGGTTTAACATTACAGATCTGTTTATTAAGAATATATGAACTATAAACCCCACAAAAAATGTTTCCCTGAACATCAGTTGAAGATATAGATTTCAAATCTTATCAATGCTGATTTGAATACATTTATATAAGTTCTCCATCTGATTAGGACATCATATCTCCAATAAGATAAATGCATTAAGCATATGCATCTGCCATAATATAGCCAGTTTATCACATTTTATTACATGTTATCTTTGCATCTATCTCAGGCTTGGAGACTATGTTGAAGCATGAGACAGACTGTCGCCACTCAGTGTTCATCTCAGTGTCTACTTTGAATATATATATATATATATATATATATATATATATATATATATATATTTTTAGAATAACTAGACAGAAAGAGAGGGATATATATATATATATATATATATATATATATATATATATATATATATATATATATATATATGGTGGTTTTCTCCATTGAAAGCAAGATATTATGGGCCTAGCTTCAGTATTTGCATGAAATGAAAATTTAGGAATATAACCTAACAGGGATTACCTTAACCTGATCAGAGTCAATGTCATATAGGATAAATGTCATGCTAAGCTGTGAATAAAGATAGAAATTTATGGCTGCAGTTTGAATGGCTCTGATGCAAAGATTGTTCTTATAAGAGTGAATTACTACTGCTACTAAAACATTTGGGAATTTCTTTCCTTACACTCTTTGCACAAATAAACTAATGATTTGTTGATAATGAGACCAATAGACATCCTATACATGATGACAAATAGATAAAAATATTATCATATATATATATATATATATATATATATATATATGAAGAAAAATATACGAAAAAACAAACAAAAATCCTAATATGCGATTATGCTGTTTTAATGTTTAATGTCAACATCGGACGTTTTAGTCTAATAGACCATCTTCAGGACATATTCATAAAACATAATTAACATAGACCATATACAATTCAACATGAAAAAGACCATGGACATAAAAGCAATACCAATCCAAACAGATAACTGAAATCTTTTATAAGATCAGCGTTCCATTTAAATATGATCACGTTGTCGTCACGTGGGTGATGTTGTGAAAACGTATCCCTAAAATTTGAGTATTTTGAATGAAAAACGAAAAGAATTTTATTTTGATCTAAAACTTATATGTATGTTTGTCGAGCATTAATCTTGCTAGAAAAGTTAAGTTTTAGATCAAAATAAAATTCTTTTCAGTTTTCTGTTTGGATCTATATCCATATATTTGCTTACATATATATATATATATATATGCAAGGATTGTGCTTGCTAGCTACCGAAGAGATAGAACTGAGAAGGGAGGAATATGACAGAGGAATGAAATACTCAGAAAGAAGGAACAACTGGCTGCGATTCTGTAATGCCAAATTTATCGTACTGAAAGTTTGCTAGTGATCCTTTGAGAAGTTTTTAAAAAAATAATGGTCATCTTAGTTCTTATGCCTAAGTTAGATTTTACCTGCTTTGAAGCATCTCTTTACAGATATTCAGACAGTTAATGTCTCTTTTGCTTTATCCTTCCTTTTTAAAAGAATCTTCCGTTCAACTATTGATCTATTTGAACTTTGGCAAATCAAATGCATATTGCAAAGATACACTAACCAGACATGATGTATATCAGTGCATAGCACTTGAACTAAAATATTTAGCTTTTCCTAATAAGGTTGACTTTCTTAAGTGCTTCATGTATGCCTGTAACAGATATGAACATATATTTTGAAGAGTTCTTAAAGTTTGCATATTTCAAAATGGGTATCAATTATTTTAATATTGAGATAAATGTTGATCCATTTTATTTGGCATTGTCTAATGACTGTCTAAGCATGAGTCAGCCTTTCTTGAAATTCGGAAACAAAATATTATGATTTCTACATTACCAAATATATCATTATTTTAACCTAGCTTCATATATTGAAGATGCATTTTAAATAAACTTTCATAGAATTGATAGTTTTATTGGAGACATGCAAAAGTTACAGCACTCATTTTTGATAACTAAAAATTGAATACAGAGTTGAAAACCTTTTTTTAGTGTAAAATTTATATATAACTAATATATGCCAACAAAATCAATTGTAAAAATGGAAATTCTTTTTAGAATTACATCTGGGGGGGGGCATTTGACCCCAAGCAAGGCGGGAAGCCACTAGGACGGAAGGGGTTACAGAAAATTTAGAGCAAGATCAGGTAGGAGTGATAGAAGAAAGGATGAGGGTAGTGGATAGATCAAGGCAACTGGAGATGTCAATTGACATTACACTTGAATAGCTGAAGATTATAGCTCACAGGGAAACAGGAAAAGGGAAGGGAGTTCCACAGGCGAGAGGTGCGAGACATGAAGCTATTAGAGTAGAAGAGACGGCTACATTTAGGAGTATTGCTGCCATATATGGTCTGGTGCCCCTTCTGTTTGCCTCGGGGTTCTTGATAGGCTCCAGAGGCGGATATGCAATGTGGTTGGCCCTGCCCTGGCATCTCGTCTATAGTCACTTTCTCACAGACGCGCCGTCACCTCCCTCTGTCTGTTCTACAAATACTTTCATGGAAATTGCTCCGAAGAGCTGCCTTCGCTGGTTCCCAGACATCATGAGTTCCAGCGCTTTACGAGGCTGGCATCCCACTCTCACCCCTTCACTGTCGAAACTCCTAAATGTAGCCGTCTCTTGTAAGGAAAAATTCAGCATTCATTGACCAAACAGCCAGTGTTGTTTTCAGTTGAAATTTATAAAATTTTTGTATTAAAAGAATTTTTCAGGAAAACAGATTTCTCAAGTTCACTAGCTGTTATTGCTCTTTCAAGTATTGATGGGGGTATCCTTCCTAAACTTTTGTTTAAAGTAGTAAGGAATGTCAACATCCTGGTTATGTCATTATTTCCTTTTCAATTTACTATCCTGTGTTATCCATTTTAGTTGTTGCTGTTATTAAAACTCCTTAAGTGATGCAGTTTCTGTTGTTTGGTATTGTTCTTTGTGATTCTGTAATGCCAGTTGATGAGGTTCAAAGAAGGACAGTCCTTCATTCACTTGAAGCCATTTTTAATCACTGGTCTGAGAAAGTCGTATATAGCTAATAGTTTAGTTATTTCTGAATTAGTTACATGACATGCATGACATCTATATTAAAGTCTCAATCTGATAAGGATATTTAAGAAGGTTTTGTAGCAAATTGTACTGTTAGGAAAAACTACCCCTAGTGCAATGTATTCTGTGTCAAATTTCTTTATCTCCCATACTAAATTTGTTATACTATTATATGTATTCCAATATCTCATCTTGATTATGCCTACAATGAGATTCATAATTTAAAACCTTGTTTTTATTTTGAATAACATGCCTTACCTTAACAGACAAAGCACCAATCAGACAAAATTTATATTTGTGTAACCAATCAAATGGGTTGTTTTGAACCACCGCCCAGGAGAAAGAGAAGATGGCTTTTCTCACTGTTAATCACCTTCAAATGTTCTTGTCATGAGTACATAATTATGACATATCTGAACAGCCTGCAAATGTGATGTTATGAAAGTCTCCTCCAATAGATAGCAATTTCATGCTCAAGTAACAAGGCCAGATCCAGATACAAGTGGTAAGCATATACTTACATTATAGAGTTAGAATTTGGTATTAGGAATTTACTGTATTGACTTATAAAACAATTTTTTTTATAAAATGTTGTAAAAGTATTTTGGGGACAAAAAAAATTGGGGTATGTCAGATAGTCACAACCTCTACTATCAAATCAAAGAATAAACTATCAATGCACCTCTCATTTATATATATATATATATATATATATATATATATATATATATATATATATATATATATATATATATATACACACATACATATATATATATATATATATATATATATATATGGTTTATTTTTCTTGGTGATTTATACCTAACTGATTTTGTGATAATGTAACATTTATAATAATTTTTGTAAACTATTTTTTTATGTATTCGTTTGGTTAGAATGCAAGCATTTGTAGTCAATGTAGAAACAAAAATGTACAGATTTCATATAATGAACTATAGTCTTCCTCCCATCACTTTCTCTCTCTCTCTCTCTCTCTCTCTCTCTCTCTCTCTCTCTCTCTCTCTTTTCTCTCTTGCTCTCACTTTCTCTTTCTATCTACTTCCTTCTCTCTCTCTCCCACAATCCCTTTCTCACTCTCTTTGTCTCACTTTCCCTCTCTCTTTCTCTCATACTCCTTTTTTCCTCCCCTTCTTTCTCTCTTTTCCTATCTCTCTTTCTTGTTCTCTTTCTCACTCTATTTTTCTCATTTTCCTTCTCTCCCTCTTTTTCTTGCTCTGTTTCTCTCCCACTCCCTCTGCAGGATGTGTTTAAAAATGAAGTTAGAAGAAATGGTTGCATTAAAAGGGTCTTTATCTCTGTTCAAATATCAATCTCTTTCTTTTAACTGCAATTCATAGATGGTATTGGTAAAATTGTACATTAAAATGATTATAGAATCTTAAGAAGATAATGCATAAAAAGGCTGATGAATATCAATTTACACAAGAGTTGATGATTATTCCAAGCACAAATAATGGCTTTACATCAGAGTATATATTAATTACTATTACATGCTTTTGTTATTTACTATTATAATATATAGTGTAGATTCAAAAACAGAATATATTTCTTGTGTTAGATTGTTCTCTGAGCCATTCAGTTAACAGAAGAATTCATGTTATAATATTCTTTCACAACTTTAAATATAACTAAATTTTAAATTCTAGAAAAATTAAGTAAGATGTATCAATTGTATTACATTGTGTTTAAAGTTTAAAATGCACTTTATATTCATAAATTTTCTTATATCAGAAAATATTTTTAAAAAAACTAACATTTATATATTCACTCATATCATTTATTAAGGAGAAATATTTCAGTGACTTGTTTTAATGTCAGCATTCAACAATCTTCCATATTATAATTTTTTAATTGCTGTTAAAACATTTTGCTTCCATTGGATGGTTCAGTGGTCTCTTCTTACTTTGAGCCTAACATAGTTTGGTAATAGCCTACCGATTCCAATAATAATGTTCTCCTTGTCTTTTGTATGCAGTCCCAGTGGTTTGGCACTCTCGGGCGGCGGTGGGATTTCCCGGACTCTCCCGATGTTTTACCTCCCGCCACCACAGTCGTTGCATTGGCTATCCGTTCCCGCCTCTGATCTGTGACGTGGTCTTTGCTCCTGCTGTCGCTCCCTGCTTTTGTAACCGATCTTCATCCTTGCTAAAACCTCACTCCAACCCTCTGACCATTGCCCACTTGTGTAGATCCCAGTCTATACAAAAAAAAAAAGAAATAAAGACAAAAAAAAAGGAAAAACACACCCAATCTTCCCTGCCTCTATCCACCCATTCCACCACTTGGAGTTTGATTCCCAAACCCTCTCCAAAAAAAATTTATATATATTATTATCTTTATTAATTTTTTTTAAAATTTAATCAAAAGAAAAAAAATCTACTTAAATTTTCTTTTAATTAAGAACAGCCCACAATCATTAACGTAAAATTTAAGTACCTTAGATTTATGTATAATCAACAACTAAATCTTAATTTAACATAAAAATGTACTTATTTCTTTCTAAATAATGCAAACTTTAAAATTATTTTCTATGCCTAAATATTTGTTTAATAAATTTACTTAAATCTTTTTCTAAACCTTCTGGTGTTTCTATATATATATATATATATATATATATATATATATATATATATATATATATATATATATATATATATATATATATATATATATGTATTTAAACATACACATATAAGTGTACATATGCTTCTACCTGCCAAAAGACAATATTTATTATACTATTCAGAAATAAATCTTAATAATTTTTTATTTATACCAATGTAAATAAATATGCATTTATATGTGGGTGACAGTTTCTTATATGTATACGTGTGGGTATGTAAGAGCAACAGGTATAGATATATGAAATAAAAATATTATCTGCTAACATGTAAGTGCATATTTATATTTTTTTTCTGAAACTTAAAGCAAATACTTGCTATATCATTCAATTAAGGCAAACAAAGCTAAAGTGCTTCCTTTATAAAATTTAAATTCAAAATATTTCATTGTATCATTTTTAAATGCTTAATATGACAGAAACTTTAAAAAAAAAAATGCTTTTGCGCCTGCTTATAAACTTGCCTTGACACTTCTTTCCTAACTAATCCTTTTAAATTCAATATATATTCCAAAAAACCGTATCGAGTGAGAAACGAGATCAGTTAATTGGCCAACAATGATATAACTGGAGAATTTCAGAAAGTAATTCAGAATAATACTAAATAAACAATTAAGCTTCTCAAAGAATTACATTAAACAAAAAGTATATGTCCTCCTGACCATTTTTTTTAACCATGTTTTACCACAGCTCTGGAGCCGGCTCAGATCGCGGGAGCGACCTCACTTCGGCCACATCTTTGGCAGCTTCACGGAACGCCTCGCTCCGTCACCAACAACAGCAACACCCCTCATCGATAGGGATTCGCAAGAGGGACGCCTCATTGTCAGCAAATACGTCTGCATCCGATCACCATCACCACTTTCCGCATCACCATCCGCATCATCATCATCACCAGCACCCTCCACCACTATTGTCTTCGACTACCACCACGTCCACGAGGGATCCGGCCTCTGCCACTTCAGGATCGGTACGCAAACATAGTGGTCGATCTGAAGTGAAAATAGCACCTAATCCTATCGTGTCCAGTGGTGGTGGTGGTGGTTCCATCCAGTTGGCTGCTTCTCCAGCGGTTGTGCAACCTACAGGTAGCATCATTGCCGGAGGCAACAACAATCTCCCCTTACAGGGAGGAGGCGGAGGGGGTGGCAGTGGTGGTATTGGGGGTGGTAGTGTGGTTGGTGTTGGAGTAGGAGACATGTCGTCGGCCCTGCAACGACCTTTCTATGCAGCCTCGTCAATCGGGAGCCCTCCTGACCCCGCTTCAATCTTGCGGAGTAGAGAAGTCTCCAAGAGGGTTATTCTAAATGTAGGCGGGGTAAAACACGAGGTGCTGTGGCGCACCCTGGACCGTATGCCTCACACTCGGCTAGGAAAACTGAAGGACTGCAACACACACGATGCAATTGTTGACCTATGCGACGATTATAGCTTGGCTGAAAACGAATACTTCTTTGACAGACATCCACGATCATTTGCTTCCATCCTCAATTTTTACCGCACTGGAAAACTTCACTTGGTGGAGGAAATGTGCGTGTTGGCATTCAGTGAGGATTTGGAGTATTGGGGTGTGGATGAACTCTACCTGGAGTCGTGCTGCCAGCACAAGTATCATCAGAAAAAAGAACATGTGTTTGAAGAAATACGCAAGGAGGCAGAGAGCCTCCGAAAGGGAGAGGATGAGGACTTTGGGACCGGCTCGTTCGCCAAATGGCGACAACGAGTATGGGACCTTCTTGAAAAACCGACTACGTCCATGGCTGCGAGGGTGAGTAGGGAAAGGCTTATCTTTTATTATTATTATTATTGTTATTATTATTATTACTATTATTAGTATTATTATTATTATTGCAGGATGCATTTTTTCTTTTTAAATTGTAATATTTTTTAACCTGCATTTTCAGCATTAACTTGCAATTGACCAACCAAACAACAAAGCAAGTTGATCTCTTTACTATTTAATGTGCTTAAATTTGATTTGATAAAACAGATAATCTTTCTGTTGATATTTAAAGTTTTTTCTCTGATGTCTTATTGATACTTTGATTTTCATGCAACTAATTACTAAGTTATAACTCCTTTCAAACATTTATATTGTTTTTTATAACATTTTGTCTTTTTATCCATCAATGTAAAAGTAACCATAATGCTGTATCTTTGAATATAATTTTGCAAACCATACATACACACACATACAAACATACAGATATAAATATATATTGAATACCATTCAATACCTTTACAGCTGATATCACTATTACAACTCTCATAATTTCTGACAGAGAATTCTCTACTCCAAACGGATGATAATTTATAAAGGTTTTTTTTCAGATGCTGTTTTTTTTTTGTATTTCTGTCTCTGTTATGATAAAGTAACCTCACCATTATTCATGTTACATTCTTTGTTTTTTTTTTACAGAGTCATGTTCTTTTGAATATAACCTAACACTTCCTTCTCTCTTTTTGCTGATCTTTAAATACTTCTCTTTGATTTCCTCTATTGATTTTAGCTTTCTCTTTTCTTCTCTGTTTCTTTTTCTTTCTTTTACATTTTCTTTTTTAAGCTCCCTTGTTGACTTCTCAGTCTAAGAATATCCACTTGAAAAATTTTTGCTTTTTTATCTTTGTTTCTTCTTTCAAATCTCTTTACTGCTCAATTGAAGATTCTGGGATTTCAATATGGTGTCATGAATTCTTTAGCTGACATCTTAGTATTTTTGCAAACCTAATAAAGTTTAAGCAAAAAAGAAACGTAACAGCAGAAACCCATTGAAATAATCAAACACTTGAAAATTGATCGTCTGATCAAATAACTGAATGACTATATTAGACAAAAAATAAAAGAAATCTTCAAATATTCAAGTATTTTAATGTTACAAGGTTCTTAGGATCTTTCAACATGATGGCTGGCCATTATCAAATCATCTTATATTCTAAAATTAAAAAAAATAGGTATAACTCATGAAAAAAAACATAATATTATTTATGTGTGTGTGTGTGTGTGTGTATGTATTATATTATATCAATATGTGTGTGTGTACTCAGGTAGTTGAATAAGTCAATAGGTTAATAATGAACAATTTATAAATATATGCAGCAAGTAATTTATAGCTAATTTATATAGTAAATATTTATTCTTGAGTATTATCTCTTTCCTTGTCAATGCACTTAATTCATTAGTGAATCCCATAAAATAAGCATTTTACACAGAACAATTAAGCTCAAATTCAGCTAAAAACTACATGTGAAGTTTGACTTATTAATTCAAACTTGTGTGTGTTTGTTTTGACTTTTCTAAAAATAATTGTAGAATATACCCTAAATTATTATCAAAATTGATAAAACTCTTTCTTAACTTATTCCAATTGAATGTTTCTTGATTTTCATTATAATTAATCAAAGATTTGATTTTCCGTAACAGCTGCTCAGTAGTTTTGCTGCTTTTGCTTGCCAGCTATTTTTAAAATAAATCAAAATTGTAATAACAAACAATAAAAGGAAAGTCATTTAACTATTTCTTTGTGAAATAACCTCCACCAGAATATTGCATATATAGTTTATATTTCAATAAATTGAGAAAACTTCAAGTGATTTATCTGGTTGACAGAGTTTTGTGTTGAAACACTTATCAGGGCCAGATACTTGCTGGAACTTTATGAGCATTTTGATGCTAAGATCTTTAGTTAGTTAACAAGATAAATCACTTGAACTTTTCTCAATTTAATGAATACTAGCTTAAAAGCAGCACTCCATGCAGACTTTTAAGGGTCTTTTGATCCAGCTTAGGAAACAGCAATGATAATCTTGAAGAAATAACTTTAAATTCCTCAATTCACTACATGGAACTTGAAAACCTCACTTTAATTCTGATTCAAGCTATTCAGTTCAATTCTGGCCAAAAGACCGATTTGGGCCAAAACTCCAATTTGGGCTAAAATTCCAATTCAGGCCAAAAATTGATTCTTCAAATCACAAATTCCATGAAACTTCAAGTGAGTTGAGTTCATCAAATGACAAACTCTGTGGATCTTCAAAAATGCCATGGAACTTCAACTGAGTTGAGTTCTTCAAATGACAAACTCTGTGGAACTTCAAAACCTCACATCCAAAATTGATTTACTCAATTCACAATGTTTTGGAGATATTTTAAAGTGAATTTAAGAGAAAAATTCTTAAATTCACAATATAGAGTATAAACTTTTAAAATCACTAATTTTTTTCAGTTTTTTTTTTCAATTTGAATTTTTAACTGTTCACTCTTCATTCAGTCATAAATCCCAATGGTGGATGTTCAAGTACCAGATGAAGGGCAGATCTTCAATTCCAGGATCATCCTGATTCCAAAAAGGTATATGTCTATGTAGAGCAAGTGTGGCCTGAGTTAGAGGGTTTTCAGACACATGGACAGACAGACAGAAATTGCTATTTATTTAGATAGAAGATTGCAGCACTAGTTATCTATTTAGCACTTTTTGGTAGAATTCCTGCTAGCCTGAAAAATACATTAAATTCTCATAATCTTCATATATTTTTTCAATTGTATTATTATTATTATTATTATATAATTTATATCTAGTTTCCAGAATATCATATATAGTTTATATATAATTTTGAGAATATCATATGTAAGTTCAGCAGTGTACATTTTATAATAAATGCTTGAATATAAAACAGTCAAAATCAAAATGGATGGACTGCTGCCCAGTTCATAGATATTGACAACCATTTGTGCTTTTAAGTAGAAAATGTAATGAACAGAAGCTCAAGCTTTGATGCTATTTGGAAATATATATGATTAGTTGCTGGACTGAAAAATCTTCAAAGATATTTGTACCTGAATAACCTGAGGCCAGTCTTGATGTCGATCATCAAATTGGCTCAAATCAAAAGTTCTCCCAAAAATACTAGATGGAGATATTAACAAAACATAAAGTTCAATAACTAAATAAAAATCTACAAAGCTTGTAGACTGTAACAGTACTGGATTTCAAAGCATATAAATCGCATTAAAAATTCTGTCTAATAATTTTACGCTTTTGAATCAGACCGTTACATTTAAAAAAAATATCAATTAATATTTGATAATTTAATACCATTTGGATTTTGAAATAACTAACATTTTTGATTCGCTTTAAATTTATTATTTCTTTCTTACACAAAATAGTTTTTTTAATTCTACATAAAACAGCACAAAGCCAATTTCTTCAGTACAAATACAAATTTCTGAAAGGAAATTTTTTAAAAAGAAAATATACCACAAATTTTATTATTTCTATATTTTATACAATATATTATAATATATAAAATATATATATAATAATAATCTATAATATATATATATATATATATATATATATATATATATATATATATATATAAAATTATATCTATATATATAATTATTTCTATATTTTATACAATATACAGGGTGCAAAGGATAAATGTTCATCTAAATTATGCAAAAATAACACAGACATCTGATTTTAACAGATATATTTACCAAAATTACACAAGAATATCTTGAAACACTAAAGAGTAAATTTACTCAATAAAATTGCCATTGGATTCAACCACTGCCTCCAGACAACTTCAGAATCTACTGCAACTCTTCTGGATGTTCTTCTTAATTAAGTTGGTGAATGCTGCCATAATCCTTGCTTTCAGTTCATCTTTGATGTTACAAGGAGTTTTGTTGGTCTCTCACTTAACTGCACCCCAAACATAATAATTAAGAGGGTTCCAGTCTGAGGAGTTGGGTAGCCAGATATAAGAGGTCATCTGATTGCAGAAATTGTCTGAC